GCTGTTCACATAGCTGACTTATATGTCAGTCAATTATGCTGCTAACAAAGCGGACTCATATGTTGTGTCTTGTAAATTGCATGGCAAATAAAGTTTCTGATAATCAATAGTGGTGGATCCTAAAAATTTAGATGTTTTTGGTTCTGCTTAAGAGAGAAATGCACAATGGTTAATTAGAGTAAGCAACAGGATAAAAGCTTATTTGATCTAATCTAGGCATGTCATCCCTTCTATACTGCACGTGCCTTGGTTTCAGATTCTTGTTTATAACTGTAACTCTGGGTTCTAACTCCAGTTGCTTACCGATATGCTGTTGCACATATAGAACTCAAGTAGATCTGTTTTGGGTGTTCATGGTCATTGCATGGTTTTAGTATCTAATAAAAATACTAATTAGATATTCATTGAAAGGAAGTCTTATACGTAAGCAGAAAATTGATTTCTAGCTGAAAGGTGTGTTTTCAAGAGTATTACTGCCTTGCTGCTGACTTTGCTGTTGCCTTTGCCGCATGTGGGTGAATAAGTCTTTTTGACACTGGAAGCATATTCTCTCAAATTGGTTCAGTTGATGATCACATTCTGTTTTGCAGGTGAGGGAGGTTGGGCTGCACCTCGGCTCAAGGACGCTGCTTTATCTCTGGACAAGTTACAAGAATGTTATGTGGAGGTAATTATGTGTTTCTATTTCTATCTTGGATATCTGATGATGGTGCCTGTGAGAAAGTATGATGGCAATATAACAAGTGCTGTGGACATGCTAGTTTCAGATGGCCCAAGTACCGTGCAAACAAAATAGGCTGTTGGCCCAACATACGTTTATATTATTACATTAAATAAATGATTGGATTCTTTCATGTCCACAGCTGATTCATGTATCTCAGATGCATTCTTGCTCAATATAAGCTCATTTAACTGATTCATGTGCTAAAGTTCTTTCATGGTAGATAAATTGCTGTCAATATCTTGAATATAACTTATAGGTATAACCAATCCATGCAGTGATAACTCAGTTTCTTACCATTTATTTATCGTTATTATCTATTTAGAATCTCAGCTTTGATTCAACACTTCCACATTGGTAAATTGATGTTATGAGTTCCTCAGTTTGGTCGTAGACAGCATAGCAAATACATGATGTAGTGAGTGTCATCAAAATCCACATTGCTGTAATTTTTTCCCTTTTTTTTGATGGGGTTTTTTGGTTTTTTTTTTCTTTTTTTTTGTTTTGGGGGGGAGGGGGTTGGGTTGGGGAGAGTAAGAAAAACTGAGAGAATCCACATCACTGCACAAAAAACTTGAGCATATATAAAACCAGTTATTTCCTGAAGGTTTAATTGCATGGAAGCTTCTTCTTCTGGAAGTTTAAGAGGAAAGAACATGAAAGTTGCAATCACTGGCTGTTTTTTTTCTCCCTTTCTTCTTTTGGATTTTTGGTCCACTTTACTCTGAAGTAGCTTTGCTGTCTTCTTTCAGTTCTCATATAATGCAATGCAATCTCAAATGTGATTGTTGGGCCTTAGAATAGACATGTAGCACCAAATTAAAACTTCTCTTGTTTGTCCTTGTTTGCCAAGTCATTGTAATACCAGATTGGTTCATTTTTTTCATTTTCTCTAGCTCTCGTTATGGATGTGGTTCAAATAGCTAGTTGTCCTAAAAATATCATTAAGGATAAGATTCAACTCTTTGTCTCTTGTGTTGCAGTTGTTTTTCAAAAAGATGGATTACCTAAAAGATTTGCTATTACAGTATTTTGCTTTGTCTTGCAGATCATTATGGTAATGCGCACACTGTACCAGAAATGCAAGCTGGTGCATGGAGACCTCAGTGAATATAATATTCTTTATTTTGAGGTAGGCCACGTCCCTTTCTTTTATTTCAAATTTGTTCTTCTATTCAGCAAACAAAAACCTCTTGATTTGCAGGGGCACTTGCACATCATTGATGTCTCACAATCAGTTGATCTTGATCATCCTCATGCCCTTGATTTTCTTCGAGAGGATTGTGTTCATGTTTCTGTGAGTCTTATCTTTCTTTGGTTGTGGTTCAGCTGAATTATTAATGGGAATGAGCTCCTGAATTGTATTGATAAATGGTTGGAATGATTTGGTTCAGGATTTCTTCAGGAAACATGATGTAGGTGTTATGACAATACGAGAATTATTTGATTTTATAGTTGATCCTTCTATTAATGATGATTCAGTGGATAGTTATTTGGAAGAGGTAAGACATGAGTGCATATGTGATTTATTGTTGCAGCTTGTGACTATTTGAACCTAAACTGTAATTCTATCTCGTAGGTGCAACAAAAAATTTTGGCTAGAGGCCATGTAATTTCTGCAGAAGAAGAAATTGCTGATTCTGTATTTATGCAGGTCCGTAGTTCTCACGATGTTTTTTCAATACCCGATATTGAGGATGTTCTTGTTGAAATGAATTTTACATAACTTCCAGGAACACTTCAAAAAACAAATCCATGTTGAGCATATATCATACATGAGACAAACCCTGTACTGAATCTATTTTGGCGTTTAGCAGACTTCATAAATGAATTAGGAGCTTTGCAAATATGCATCAACTCATTAACCCAATTAAGTCTAGTTAATCATTAAAAACCTTCTGAAATTTTGTTATTTCTTATAATTAGAAGCTCTTTAGCATGCATTTGAATGTAGAGTTGTCACCTTAGTATCAGACTGAGAACTCAGCAAAACTACAAGTCTTATTAATTTTGGGATCTTTTTTCTGTGATTCCAGTCATACATTCCAAAAACACTAGATCATGTCAAAAATGCAGAGGAGGATGTGCAGCGGCTGATTAGTGGTGCTGACACTGGAGACATGTACTATCAAACTATTACGGGTCTTAAGCAGGCCCTTTCTATTTCTGACTCTTCCTTGGCAGAAAGACAGTCACACGAGCAGGTTGGGCAACCTATGGAAGATGTTTCACTACAAGATGAAAACTCAGAATCAGCCAGCAGTGGGTCCAGAAGTGGAACGGATGAAGATGAAAGTGATTCAACTGACACAGAGGAATTAGATTCATCATGTGGAGGCAAGCAGCCGACTGCTGCTGATAGAAAAGCTGCTAGGAAGGAGAACAAGAAGAAAGTTAAAGAGGAGAAGAGGGAGGCTCGCAAACATAAAGTTCCAAAAGCTGTGAAGAAGAAAAAGAAAAAGTTGGCAAAAGCCAAGAAGTATAGATAGGCGGCTAGTTAGCAAGTTTATCTTTCACCGAGGCAGGTAAGAAGCTGCCGCGGCATGTTTGCCTGAGCTATTTTCTGTTTGATGAAAGCTCTCAATTTTTGATCTCATACGTTGCTTCGCACTTTCTCTGAATTCTGACGTCCCAATAGTAAGGTGGTTATTGATGAAGTAATAATAATTCAAGAATAATCAAGGTTTTTTTTTTCAAATTTATTCCTAATGTCAGTATTTTCTCTGATCTGTTTCACATCCCTTCTTTAAACGCTTATTAAGTTCTGTCCAACTTTGTTCTGCCTCAGCAAACAAATAGGCTTTAATGCAGTGATCCATGATGTTCATGATTCGTTTGCTTTGAATAAAAAACTATCACTCATCATTATCTTCTGTTGACATCATCAAGTTTTCTAGTAACGTGTTTCTAGGTAGAGGTGGCAAGATGGGTGATTTGGGCGGGTTTGGGTTGGGTAAAATGGGTAATGGGTATAAGTGAGTCAACTCATTTATATCCATTTAATTAGATGGGTATAAATGGATAAGTCAAAAAATGAGTTGGGTAACCCAATTATCCATTTATAACCCATTTATTCTAAATTTTTACAAGCTCATATAAATTCATTTTTAAACTAAATTATCAATTTATACCATTTTACACCCATCATTAATTTTAAATATTTACTTATTATGCCAAATAAGTCTAATAATCAATTTTTTTTCCATCCGCATGCCATGTCGCAAAATTACATATTATTTAATAATTGAACAATGAGAATCTAAAATTTTGGACTAAATAATATGAAAGTTAACAAAAAAATTTAATCCAAAACTTTGAACCCCTAGTATTTGTGATTTTTATTTTTTGGACACACTTTCAATAATATTACTTACTTGTTTTCGATGAAAGTTGAAGTGGACATATAATGTAAGTGGTGCAAGTTTCTAACCTGATCCCCGAAATTCAAAGGAAAAACAGTCCGCAATGATCTATGCTAGACTAGCAACAAACATGCAATCCAACTCCAAATGCAAATAATTTTGAACAGGGCAGGGAGGATTTGATTGGAACATAGGAAGAGATTATGAGTAGGAAGTTTTAAATTCAATACCTTTTCTTTATAAAAAAAAAGAAAAAAATTAAATAATTTTTGACAGCCTTTTTTTTTTCCATGGTTAAGAAGCTTTTTTTTTTTTTTTTGTTAAGTTAAGAAGCATTGGTTAAAAGAAAAACGAAAAGGGAAGGAAATGGTGATTTGACGGGGTTAATTGTCGGTCAAAGAAAAAGTCTGGAAGTTGGGGTTGGGTGAGGTGGTGCCAACTCTTTTTCACCCCGAGAAATACAAAAAGTTTGGGAATGTAAGTTAAATGGGTTAAATGGGTTAGATGGGTTACCCAATTATACCCATTTAATAAATGGGTATAATTGGGTAACCCATTTATATCCATATATAAAAATTTAATATACCCATATTCAATTATTAATGGGCGGGTATGGGTAAAATTAGTTAAATGGTTTTATTTGACACCTCTATTTCTAGGGTTGCTATATTAGTAGTAAAATTAAACGTGCTTCTAGAGTGTAACTAAACTAGTAGTACAGTTAAAAACTTTAATTAAGGTTGTATAGGACTTGGCCGGCAAAGGAGGTGGTGGTTGGTTGAGGTGGAAGAAGAGAGGAGGAAGGGAATTTTTTTTTTTTTTTTTTTGTTTTGAATATTTTGAAGTGTGTAGGTTAAAAAACTTTGAAAAGTTTTTTGAAGTTATTATAGTTAAAATCGATAAACAAAAAATTAGTAGCAGACAAATTTGGGTAAAAACCCATTTGACAAACTGGCACACAATGTATGGTGAAAACACATATGTACACATAAACACATCTACATGTCTTCGCATAAAAATGCACCTCTTAACCGAGGTAGCACTCGGACCATCAAAAGCACAGTACAGTGTGGTGACTTTGACCAAAGTCATCTAGCATAACTCAAAAGCACGGTAGAGTCTGTCTTGACCCAAGTGATCTAGCATAACCAAATGTAGCAGCATAACTAAAAAGACTGACAGGGATTTAAATATCATGAACAATCTCAAAACACCAACGGAAGCATAGTTCCTCCCATTCAGAGCATAATTTCCAGACACTGATATCCAACTTCAGGCCTGTCCAAAGCCTCCAACATCCCTGAGGGGAGAAAAGGGCAAAAAAAAGAAAACAGGAAAAATGAGACCAAAGCTTCCACATGCCACCACAACATACCCAAACTACAGGCTACTCGGTCTTCAAGAATCCACTAAAAGACAGTGCAGCATAGGCACAAGGGAAAAATGACAAAGTGAACCTTTGACAAGCTCTACAAAATTTGAAAATCATCACAATTCAATGAATAAGCCTATACCTAATTAAAATGTCACCCACCAGTGAGAGTAATGCACATTAACACAAAAGTGACTCGTAAGAAAAGATTCTGAACAAAGTGATGCCTATGCTTCAGCGCAATATGCAACCACATCAAAGCTTAAATATATCCCAATCCAGTGTGAAATTTCTTTTAAATGCAAAAGATGTTCAAGGTTATTTGTCAGTAAAGTTGCTGATGAAAGTTGTCTATATTTTGACACAAATACGAAAAAAATAGAACCAAAAAAAAAAAAAAAATTAAGCGACACCCAAGTGTCATTTAAGGGGAAAAATACATGAGATGTGGTGGAAACATGCATGTTTAATGTTTCATTTCAATAAGGAGATCCATAATATGTGGAATCTTAAAGTGAGAGAAAATCTAACAAGATCATGAATTGGTTTACAAAAGACACCTAAAAGTCCTAAACCCCAATACAGTTGGGTAAGCAGGTAGGAGATAGAGGACACAAGGACCAGAAGGCCCTTGCTAAATTTGAATGTCCATCAAATACTTTGAGGTAGCGTACAAAAAGCATGATTTCGTGTATGTGATTTCAAGCAGTAAACATGCATCTGACCATTTTGGAAAGAAGCAAAGTACCCATCTGGTTGATTTAAATGCTATAACACGCATACACTGAAGCTGTCATATAACAAACCAAACAGAATCCCCAAAAACAAAGAGACTTACACATGGATAAGAAACATCTAATAGATAATCCAACCATCAATAGCCAATTGCCGCATGTAGTTCCACAACCAGCAATTGATCCATTCAGTTAAAACCCTTTTGCAGCAAATAAATGTAATAAAATATAGTTATTCAAATTTAGAAAAAACCTGGTGCTTTCCTGGTTTTCCATGGCAGCAACCGGGGAACTGCACCACAATCATAGGCTGTTAGTGATATTCTATATAGCATACAACAAAATATCAATAGGATGTGAAGTTTAAATAGTTTCCCGCTTAAATCCCTTCGCAGCAAATAAAGCACTTGAACCTTGTTGCGACATCCTGCTCTTCCAGGGCAGCAATCCGTGAACTGCACCATAGGCAAAAGTTGTTAGTGATATTTTCAATACCAAACAACGAAATAACCAAAGGATGCAAAGTTCAAATAATTTCCTAGCGTGTCAAAATTCTAGCAAATGCCAATAAAATATGAAAAAAAAATAGAAGTTCAATTAGCAATTCAAGTTTTGCAGCAAGTCTATTCAGCAAAAGAAGATTTTGAAGCAAGTCATACCGCAATCTTTCTATCCGGCGATGGTAGTATTCCCTGGCACAAAGGGCAAAAAGTGGAAACCATCAGTATAATAACCATCATCCTTTGTGTCTGTGGCTAAAAAGCACTCTCATTTTAATTATATGAGAAAAGCAAACTTCCTATTTTTGATCTTGCATGTGTGCAAACACTACTAACTCAGAAGCAAAAAAAAGGGCAAAGGAACTAGTAGTTCAGTAGCAAAAGTTCTGAAAGGAATTATCTACCTCATCCTGCAGTGTCCCTTTAATGTGTCTTCTACGGACGCCCTGCCAACAAAATGCCTTAAATTTAGAGATATATCATGACACAACAATAAACTATCAAAGTGTTTGCCTTTGACCATGAACTGAACATGCACAAAGAGACATAAATTTGTAAGGCAGTTTGAAAACCTTGTGCATCAAACAGTATAGTGGCTTATAAAAGCAATTAAGTATCCCAAAATGTGACACTGATAAACAATAGGTACAAACATCCGCCAAAGCAAAGACGGATACGGAAAAGGCAAGAAATGATTAACATGAATGTTTGAGAGTATCATTAATTCTGGAAATAAAAAGAACATAGGAAGTTGATTATAAAAAACTTGTTTATGTCAGGCTTGCCAATCAAGCCAAAAGAAAAAGGTAACCAGCCGACAAGCAATAACGACGCGTGGGGAAGAACAGTTTCTTTTTCCTCTTCCAATTGCACATCATTGTTATGTTCTCTCCAAAATTAAGTCACCAAAAACGGTCCAACAATAGCTCAACAAAAATCTAAAACATTTCCCACATAATCAACATTTCATCATGGCTAGTCTACTTTCCACATAAGTCGGTGGCTTAAGTATCAGGCAAAGGATGCAACCACATCAACCTTGTTGAAATTGAAGTACAGCAAGCATTGGGACATATGCCGTTGAGAAATGCTGTTCAAAAGGAGGCAGCAATATGCTACACCATGTAGTCTGTCATTCAACCAATCTCTTTGATACATGTACAAAATATTATTTTCTTTTACACAAAAGTCAATTGCTTCTATTTTACCTCCATTAGATCTCCGGCCTCCAATATCATTCTAGGTTTTGAAACAAATACATAATTGAAAAACATGTGATACATAGACATACCAAACTTGCAAAATGTTTTACAATGCAATTCAAATATATTTCTGCAAGCATATGTACTCCTATTCATTTCATGGAATAATCCTCAAAGGACCATTGCCATCAAAATCCATTATCCCTCAATCTCGAGAAAAGCAATCTACTTCTATGGATGTTCTATTTCGACCGACTGCAGTAACTCATTTAAAATCTGTATCCAGCTAGACTAATGAAGGATCACAAGTAGCATTAATATGGTTAAGGGATTGTAGAATCATCTGTGCCAAAATACAACTCCACAAGTATCTCTGCTCCTATTCATTTCATTCTATAAATCTCTAAGGAACATTACCAGCCAATCTGCAGAAAGCAACTTACATAATTTATCAATTGTCAGGATTAACTACGATATTTACAACTGCAGCAATTCATTAGGGAATCTGTTTGCAACTAGAGTAAAGAAAAATCGCAAGCAATGTTAAAATGGTTAAGAAAGCGTAAAATCCTGTCATCATCCTAAACTCAGTATCTAACTTGTTTATGTTTCTAAAAGAATTCCTTTTTTTTTTTCAAAAAGTACAGTCAATATTCTTTCTTGCAGAGAAAAAAAGCAGCTAAATAAGATCCCACATTAGTACACCAAAAGTTCTTTTCACCAAGAAGTAATTATACATTATCATTACCCGTTACATACATTATTATCAGTTTAAATGGAATTCATACAAAAATAGAGGAGAAAAAACTGAAGAGAAAAATTTAGGACATAATCACATACTTTCTATCCATTTCATACTGTTCTCGTTTTTCTGCATTTCGCCGGGCAATTTGCCTGTATTCAAAGAAGAGCAAATCAGCCTAAAATATAAAGAAGTTGAAATGACAAATACAAGTGGTATAAAGCAGCTCTATTCCATCTGTCCTAGCACAGCAAAAACTAAAACAAAATCTGAAAGAGTAATAATTAATAATCAAACACAAAACACTTTCAAAGACATCATAGAAACACCTTAACAAATGGTTGATAACATGCACACAAACGTTTCAATGCAACCATTTCAGGCCATCATCAAGACACAACTGAGAGAATAAGCTCCTAACAGAAGAAGGCAAAAGGCTAATGAACCACAATTACAATCCAACCATGTGAAATATAAACAAGCTTAAAGATACAGAAAAGAAAATAACCACTGTTTCTTCCTCCTCTTCAAGAAAACTGCTCGCTCACCACTATATTTCTGTTTCCTTTTCAAATAGGAAATGTACCCAAAAGGAAGAATTTCTACTCCTTATCAACAACCTGATACTGGTGGAAACTCACACGAGTCCCAGCATCAAACATCACCAGCATTGACATCCATCGATGTACACCATTTAAAATAACCAAGCAGCACAGAGTAAAATTTCAATTTGGGCATTCTTAAAATCTCAAGTCATTTTAGCAAGGCTGATATGTTGTACTCATCCGTTATTTTGTGTTGTCCCCCAAAAATACTTCCAAGGCCACAACTGAATGAGAGAAGAAGCTCGATTATACCTTCCACGAAAATCTGGAAAGAGCCTGTAACCCATGAAGAATAGAAGACTAAAACAGTGAGAAACTCATATCCACCAATACATGAGAGATTCACAAAAGAATAATCAATATAAAACCCAAAAGCACTTCATAAGTAGTAAAGGCAATAAATCCAATGCCCACTGATTTTGTCCATACCCCACACCAATCTGAAGCAACTTTAGAGTCAAGGCAACGGAGCCTAAACCGTTAGAGTTCTAAACTGGTTTCCCAAACTCACTTTCTGTTCTCATTGGATTATTTTATATGATCCTTGTTTGACTAAATGTTTTAACTTGCTCTAGGCCAACTTGATTGGACATCAGTCCAATTCGCTACTTAACTCTTGGAGGATAAAATATGTAAAAGTATGGCATATACCTAGGGCTGTCAACGGTCCGGGTCTGGACCCGGACCCGGCCCGGACCCGCCAATATTTGCCGGGTACGGGTAGGCATATAGTTCCGGGACCCGGATCCGGAACCGTTTAACCTAATAGATTTGCAGGTAGGATACGGAATATGCCGTTCCGACCCGTATAGGACCCGAACCCGTTTTTTAATTAATTAATAATTAAAAATATATACCCAATTTTGTTCAACCCTAAATCCCTAATAGTCTAATACCCACGTAACCCACCGCCGCCGCACTCTCTTTTCCTTTGCTCCTTACCCAGCCCCAGCGACCATTTTTCTCCTCTGCCTCCCAACTCCTGAGTCGCGCCTCCACCACCACCACTCACCACTCACCAGATCTGCAATTTTTCAGGAAATTGACTGAAGTTTGAGTCTGACCGAAAAGGACTAAACGTCTAAACCGAACGTCTTCAGTCTTCCTGGAGTTTCTGCTCGGCTGCCGCCGACTGCTTTTGCCGACTGCATGTCGCAGCTAACGTGGCACACTACAAGAAAGTGAGAAGACTGCAGTTCGTGGACGCGATTCCTAAATCTCCTTCAGGAAAGATAATGAGAAGGCTCATCAAGGAGAAGATGGCAGAAATTTAAATAAGAAGATGCGACCAGTGGGCGTTTTTGCTCAGAACCAACACGGGTTCTGTAGGAATAATCAATTCCCTCCTCTTAGTCTTCGGTAACATATGGGCTGCTATTCCATTCTCACCTTTACTATTGTGATTGTAATAAGCTAATGCGAAATTCACTTGGGTCGGTCCCATGGAGATATTTTAAATACTAGTACTATGTCTGGCTTAAAGCAGTAAAGGCCTCAAATAGTCACAACCACAGCACACCAGCAGTGCTGCCTTTCACACGCCACGAGGTTATCTCATCTCGAAGATCAACATAGGTAATTAAGTAGAGCTCCCAAAGTTTGCCACAGGTTTTAACGGGTCTGATTGCCGGGTAGACCCGGCCCGGATTCGGGACCCGTCGGATACGGGTCCGATGACAGATTAAAAGACCCGTCGGGTATTCGGGCCGAATCCGGAACTAATCTAGTATAACGGGTCCGGGTCCGGATATATGCATTCCGGCCCGGACCCGGCCCGTTGACAGGCCTACATATACCAAACATCCACCTATATATCAAATTGAGATAAGATCAAAAATTGTTTTATTTCCGATAAGTAAAACGAGGACAAAACTTTATCGTCTTCGAAATCAGCCAACCTTCTTAACCCCCTCGACTTTTGTCTTTACAGAACTTTTCCTCCCATTTGATATCTTTTTTTCCCTTCTTTCATTTTTCCTATTATTTGACATCAAATACCACATGTTCCATGGGAATTTATAAAAGAAACAAAAAACAAGAAAGATGCCAAATTAATGCAACATGGCGTACGTTATGACAGTACTACAACAATCCCAAAGTTGACAAGAGTTTGTTTTTGAATACATAACTGCAAAGCAGATAGAAATTAAAGTTCACAAAGCAATCTTTTTAATTGCTTTGGCAATGAAACCATGCGGCTCTCAAATTATCACGAGAGAATGATGTGCTACGTGTACTCTCAAACCGCAAAAATATAGCCCATTTGCGTTCCAATTACGACCATTGCAACTGGATATGCTCATGGACTTGGCTAAGCATATTGACAGACAGAGGAATGAAGGACAAGAGAGGGAGCACTGAAAGTATGAGAATCGTACCAGTTCACTATCATATCACTGACAAACACTCCAGAATAAGCGGCAAGCAAGAGGGCAACTGACACAAAAACGGAAAGCAGGAAAATTGAAAACATTCAGTTTCAACACATTCATGCCTCCAATACATAAGACATACAGGCGAATACTAGAATTTATGTAGTTTTGACAACACCAAAGGAGGCGGACAGGGAGAGAGTGTTTGACTTGGGCACATACGTGGAGAAGCGCCGAATCTCTGTGTAGCCTTCTGATTCATGGACCGGACTGCAACCAGTCTGCAGAAAAAAAAAAAGTAAGTTAATTGAAGACTACCCTAAATAGATCCGACAAGAAACGATAGCAATTCATGTCAAACAGTCTAAATACACCGGCAAATTGAAATAAAAAAAAAAAAGTTCAGCAAAGAAGACATATTGCATAAATCCAGAAAGAGAGCGCAGATAATTAGGTAAGAGATTGCAGAAAAACATACAAAGTCGCCATCTTGGTTTATCCACTCCTTTGATCCTTGGAACCCTTGCACAAAATCTGAAATTTGGACAACATCAACAGCTATTAGTTCCAGACAACATACATATACGCGCAGGGTATATTATATAAATATTAAAAAATTAGGGATCATTTTATAATTTTATAAGTTTTAATCCTAAGTGTAAGTGAAGTGGTTCACAGCCTCATATTCTAATCCCATATAATCCGCCTCTCCTCATCTTGTTTAAAGAAAGCGAATATTCTTGATGAAACCTAAACCAAATGAAGAAAATGAAGAAAAATTTGTGAAACTCTATCATAAAGATTGTTTATCCCTTTCATCCTTTTCATTTTTATTCTACCTCCATTGATCTTTCCTGCAAATTTTTCATCAATTCAATCAAAGATTTGTGTTTGGAACTCAAATTTTCTATTAGCTAGATAATTAAAACATTTGTGTGTTTCATTTATTTATTTATTTTATTGCAATTATGTATCTTAAATTTGTCTCTTTTATTTTAGTGAAAGAAATTTATTTTTCTTTTTCATCACCTTTAATGCCATACGGTCTATTCCAAAGATGTAAGAGAGTTGGGGAAGATTTTTCAAGTTTATTTTGATTATACTTTTTCTAAAAATTATCAGCTCTATTCAATTCTTTTCCGGACTTGATTCCACAGTCGACTCATTTGTGATGTAGTATTGTACCATAATATCCTTAAGAAAGTTGAAAAAATTGCCAAATACTTATTATCCTTATGTTTATTATGTTGTAAAAGGATGAAATGTGTAAGAATGATGATGTGCTCAAAATTATCATGAAATTTCGTTTTGCCTATTAGATATTATAATTCTAATATATACTAAATTTACGAAATCGGTTTGATTATTGGATGAAATGTGTGAGAATGGTGATGTCTGGACTTTGATTATAATATCTCTACCAATATTAATTGAAAAGCAAGTTTTTTTATTGGAAAACATGCTGATATTAAGTGAAAAGTAATTTTTTTATTGAAAAATAGTTTTTTTTTTAGGGGCGGGTACCCTATGACCAGCCCTTTTTTTTCAGGTACCCAAGTAGCGGGTATTTGAACACATTAGGTGTGGGTTAGGGTCGTAAAATAACTGATCTGATATATTAGAGTTGGATCAGTCAAATCATGTTAGAGACAGGTACCCAACCTGTGTCCCCCATAGTACGGATGGGACTCCAAGGGAAAAAGTCGACAACAATGATGAAGATGCTTGTTTGGTCATCAAAGAATAAAGTGGCTGAAGAGAGACTTGAAATTTCAGAGGAAAAGGCGGAGGTTGCCACCGACAGCCATGAGTCTATTAGCATGGAATTGTCGAGAGTTAGGGAAGACTCGGGCAATTCGTACCTTACTCAATCTGATCAAGACTAAAATCCCTAAAATAATCTTTTTATCGAGAACAAAAATGCTAAGTGATGAACAGGCCGAGATCACGATCCAAACTGGACACCAGCTGTTGTTTCGAACTGACCTGCAAAGAGCCGAACAGTCCCCGTTGTGACTCCGACGCCTAAGTTAGTTGCTAGAAAGAAGTAATAGAGGAAATGGTAGTATTGTATCGCATACCTTTTAGGGTCCTCCTCTTCCTTATTTAGAGTCTTGTAGGATAGTCATGAGAGAGTCTGAAGTTATCCTCCTACCCTTAGTAGTAATCTCATTCTCAAATATGAGTCCTATTAGGTTACTAGAAGCGGAGTCCCTCTTGAACTCTACCTCTGACCTTATCCCAAAGAATCAGAAGCCCTTAGTCAGTTCGGCCCCGGAAGAAGGCTGAACAGGCTCGTCAACAAGGCCGAACAGGCCAGTAGAACTGACACATGTCCATAGAGAATTGGCCCCTCGACACTAAGCAAAGACATTGGAGGAGTACGTAGAAAACAGGATTTAGATATGATTTTTTCGTAGATAGAGTTTGATTGAGTGGATGATACAAACCACCACAAAAATATGAACTCGTATCCCACGTAGTCCCAGATCTAGACGAAGAAAATCAAATTGAATTGCGAAATAACACTTGATCCTTCTAAACCCTAGATTGCGAACCTTGAATTGAATATCAACTCACAATCAAATGATCTAGTGAACCAATGTTAAAGGTAGAAGAACGCTACAACCAAGTTATATACTTGATTGATAAGTTCGTTGAATACTCTCAAGTCAAGTATTCAAAAGAAACTCTCTTGAACAAGAGAAAATGTGCTTAACACACAAAATTCTGATATATTCCCCAAAACTAATGAGTGATAGTAGTGTTTGACTATTTATAGCCTTACATAGATTTAAAACCTAATGTGTTTTAGAATTGTCTAGAAATTCTAATGTGATTTGGAATCACTTATTTTCCTAAAATTAATAACAAAAAGTCTGCCCATCTTGAGACACAATCTAACCGAATTAATTAAAGCAAATAAACAACTAAATTAGTAAGGTAATTAACATTAAAATCCTTGCTTAACAACACCAATTAAACGACCTAACTTGCAAAACAATTAAACCAACTAACTTTGAATTTCAAGAACTTGAGCTAGCTCTCAAACTTCTTCACTTGAATCAAAGACTCGGATTAGAACATCTTAAAGTTTCAAAATCAATATTAAACTTTGAATGACATATGAAAGGTGTTGCCAATTTTTCATTTTGCATCATTCCCCTCCTCTTGAAAGGCGATTTGTTCCCAAATCGAATGATTGTTTGCGATGGAGAATAGCAGGGAATATTTGGACGAACGCAAGCCAAGAAGCATGCCTTCTATGCAAACGGAACAGAACCAATGTGCACGCTTCAACTCACAATTATTACACTAATAGCTCAAGTTATTGACTCCTGGATCAAATACAAAGAATGAAGAATGAGTATCAACGAAGTAAATATAATAACGCTTCCACCAAGTTGATAGCAAGATAAAAATATGTGAACTCCATGTGTGATGTTAAGACCTATAACATGTCCTAAACACACATTAGTATCACTTAGTGAAATAGATGCAAACTCCCATGACAAGGACTTTTTCGTGGGTTAGAGAGGTCGAGATTTTTCCATCTTTTGTATCCATAATCTAGTCAAGATAGACCCTTCAGCTGCCTGATCAACTTGGTTCTTCAAGACAAGTTATTGCTGGGTCGAGATCGCATCAGTTGGTATCAGAGATTCGGTTCTTGATCCAGGTTAATATCCTTTTTTTCTTGTTTTTTCCTATTTGTTTTTCTACCAAAACCTTAACCGCCTTTTGATTTAGAAAAAAAAAATTTTTTTGATTCCTGTTTTTTTTATTTTATCGCTTGGGTCAAACTTACCTCCTTGATTGATCAAGATTGAAAATTTTTGGTGTGATTAAGTTCTTAGAAACAGGTTTTTCAAGGGTTTAACTCCTATTAAATTGCTTCCAAGTGAAGTCGTGACCCTGTATTGAGTCATAAAAAAAAATCGGTATTGTTCACGGTACTGTAACAATCATTGTTCATCGCTACTGTAGCGATTACTATCCATCTGAGTTACTGTTCATCTGAATTAAAAAAAAATTCAGATTGTATTTTTGTGTTTGTTTCTTCGTTTTTGATATCCATCCGTGGTTAAGTGGTAGAAGAGTCATTAGGGTTTCCAATTCCTAGTTTGCTTATGATTAGTAAGTCCGTGACTTTTTTTTTCTATTGTGTGCAACTTTCCTTTACTGTTCAATTTCTAGCATTTTTGGGAGTCCATTAAATCTATTATTTTCAATCCTTAATTGTGTGGAAAAAAGAAAAATTTTCAGAAATTCTAACTTCCAATTCCAGCCATAAGAAAATCTGCCCAATCGCAAGTTTCCTAGTCGGGTAGAGTGAATTTTATTGATCAAAAGAATGATTATGATAATGATGATGATGTTGTTGATGTTGATATGACATACCTGGATATAACTGATTTCTTTGAACATCTTGAAAATGTTAAATGATTATATGACAAATACCCTATGATTGTTTAAATATTTTATGATATTTTGTATCTTTTATGCAATTTATTTTCTATTCAATATCTATTTTCACATCTTTTATTAATATTTATTTTTGTTTGTAAATTTCTTTCTTAACAAGAAATGGATTCCAAATATTCGGGATCAAATAATAGTGATGCTAACATTTGTCTCATTGATAGTATTACTACACATATTATATTGAAAAATAAAAATATTTTTTATTTGAAAATGGGGGAGACAAATATTAATACTATTAGTGATAGTGCAAAATTGATTGAAAACTTCAGAAAAACCACTCTACCTCTCCCTCAAGGGACTAAAATTATCATAAATAATGCACTGCTCTCTCCCAAATCTCGAAAAAATTTATCGAATTTTAAAAATATCTGCGAAAATGAATATCATATCTAGACAATAAATGAGGCAAATAGTAAATTTTTATTAATCACAAATATCATTTCTGAGCAGAAATGCATTTTAGAAAAATTACCTTCATTTTCTTCCGGCCTATATTATACACAAATTGGTGCAGTTGAAATTCATCACTTAATAGATCAGAAGTCTACTCATCCCAATAATTTTATAATTTGGCATGATCGTTTTGAATATCCAGAATCTGTAATGATGAGGTGAATAATTTAGAATTCACATGATCACTCATTGAAAAATCAAAAGATATTAAAATCAAATGAATTTTCCTATGTTGTTTGCTCCCAGGAAAAATTAATTATTAGACCATTACTAGTTAAAATTGGAACTAAATTTTCTACATTTTTAGAATGAATTCATGGTGATATACATAAGCTCGTAGATCTATCATGTGGACCATTTCGATATTTGATGATGCTAATTAATACATCAATTAGATGGTCACATGTATGTTTATTATCTACTCGCAACTTGACATTTGCGAGATTACTTATTCAGATAATTAAGTTGCGAGCACAAATTTTAAATTATCCAATAAAAAGAATTCGTCTAAATAATGTTGGTGAATATTCATCACATACTTTTGACGATTATTGCATGTTCATTGAAATAACTATTGAACATCCTGTTACTTATGTTCACACATAAAATGGTTTAGTCAAATTATTTATTAAACTGTTACAATTAATTGTTAGACCATTATTGATGAGATGTAAACTTTCTTTATATGTTTGGAGATATGTT